CTTAATATATTTACTTTCACAATGGATCTATCAGGGGACAACATTGCCACCCTTCCTTATTGGATTTTTGTGAAAGAATAAACATACTATACTGAAAGAAATGAGACAAACATTGTGCTCTGTAATTTTTCCAACACCCACTTTATTCCCTTAGTTTCCTCTGAAATCTCTTCACAACATGAGCATATCGTTATTGGTAATCCTGTTAGACTGAATATACTTCATGCATGACAATCTTTTCAGTGTCTCACTTCCATCTGGGATTTCTTAATCAGAATACACCTGAAACTTAATTTAATTTCATAACTTAAAAGAATGTTTCATCTTTAACATTCTTCATCTAATATCAAACACTACTTTTCCCCTTGATTTTTTTCCAAAAAACTTTGACTAAACAAAAAAATAAGATTTTTGTTTTGTTTGTTCGTTTTTAAGTCAAATGCATGGTGTTTACTAACTTTTAGACTGAATATTAAGTGCTTTATGCATATACAGGCACATTTGACTAGCAAAACTTTTTGAAAAAAGCTCCTTATAGAATGGAATTATGTTCATCATTATTGGAGATACAAATGAAGTTGGGATGAAGAGATATGACAGTCTTTTTTTTTTGTTGGTCAAAAAATCAGATAAGATACATAATTTCTTCTTTGGAATTTTTGTGCATTTTGAAGTGCTAGAGTTGTTGCTATGTTCTTTTATTGTCACATTGCCGTTTTACAAAACTTTACAGTTAGAAGAAATCCAACTGCTCATTTGTTTTGCAAGCTTTTCTGATAAGAGAATGGTTCTGCAGGATAAGTAACAGCAGGAACTGTATTTTTACTATTTGTGAAGTACCACTTCCTTGCCAGAACAGATTGAACTTCAAAGCCTGACTAAAAGCACCATACATAGTTTATTTATTTGGAAGATATAAAAAATAAAAGCCAGAGCTGGGGTTGCTACAATGATATTTCAAATAAACTATAGTGACAGCCAAGTATTTGTCAAAGGCTGAATACGCTTTTCATCAGCCAAACTATTACTCTGTTCCTGAAGTTAGTAATTGATTGCTAACTTAACTGCTTTATTGCTGCTCAAACTGTCACACTGTATCCAGAGCACAGAAAAAAAGGTACTCATATTTATGGATCTATTCCATCTTTTTATTTTCTTTAATAAACATTGTTTTTAATGGTTGCTTAATCAAAAATGCTAGTCAGACTCTTTTAATTGGTTTTTGACCTACATTCTATTATAGGCCTGATTAACAATTCCCTAATCAAAGTTGAAAAACATTCTTCTTTGTGTTCAATAATTTAGAGATCCATGAGGGAGCTGTATTGTTGCTCTTAGTCTCAGTGTGAATTTAGTTCATTCTATGCATGTAGTCTTGAGATTCACTTGAGTAAAAATAATTTCAAACTCAAAAAAAACCCATAATACATCCAAAAATGCAATCAGTTTCTAAAATGTACTTCTTCGTTGTTAAAGATACTTACAAATTCAATCACCATGTATTTTGCTAATTAGCAAAATAGCATATTTGTTTTACGAGAAGCTCCTAGGACTAAGTCTTAGGATGATTACTTTGAACCATGTGTCCAGACTGCTTTTGAGGCTATCAAGTTCTAACAGGCAGGTTTAGGAAGGACCTTCCAATTCATGAACAAGGTACAGAAGATGACAAATAACCCTCTCTTTAGCATCCTCCTTCCCTAGTGCCAGGAAAACAAGAGCAAGGTGTGGAAATATTTCCTGACCACAAAATACTGCAGCATTGTGATTAAAGGTTTTTAGGGCCAAAGATCTGCTTAAATCCCACTGGCCTGTAAATGACATCATTCCTGTAGCCTCCAGAAAACAAGAAAATCATATGAACAGCCTAAAGATCACACAGTCTTTTCCCAGAGAAAAAAAAATGCCCTATCGCAGAGGGCATAGCTTACAGCACAGGTGAAGAGAAAGGAGGAAGCCTGGAAAGCAACTCACTGATCTTAGAGGCCTTGGTGACTTCTGCCCTATTGTGTACTCCTTGGTCATCCTGAAGCTCTTCCTAAATCAGGGACCCTACCATGACAAGAGCCTCTTGCTTTCCCTCCAGCCTTTTTCCTTTGCCCTTAATCCACACAGAGAATTGCTGTCTGGTTTCAGAAGTGCTTTATGTTTAGGGAATTCTTTCAGAAACCATCTCAGTTGTCTTGCTGTTTATGCTCTCTTCAAGTATACACACAGACAAGCACTATATATCTGATCACTGTCCTCTTGGTGATTCATTCAAACAGTTGAACAAGGACTTTTACAGCTTACTGGGAAAAAACTCCAAACAGTGTTGTAGCTCAAACTGTCCCTCAGTGTATTGACAAATAAAGAATTTGGAGGAAAACATGGTAGTGCAGCCAAAATTTTCATCAAAAACTGCATGCACAAGGCTAAACCCAAGGTGTTTAATCTAATTTGCTGATGACTTTAGCTGCCTGGTGAGATAAAGCAATACTCAAACCTTAGAATTACTTAATGAGCATTCTAAGACTATGGATGAGGGAACAAGTTCACTTGTTGATAATCCTGTGACATATTCTTCACAACCAGGGAATTTTATGTATCAGAATAGACTTTTTAAAGAATAGAAAATCTACCTTACATGCATATTCAGTCTGATGCCTGATGCTTTGTCAGGCAGTTTTTCCTCAGGGAACTATGTTGAAATCCATTATAAATATTCAGCTTCTGACATGTCTGCAGATAAATTAATACAATCCAGTAGGCAATTCCTCTTTTTCAAGACTCAGACACACTATTTTCATCACCAAAAAGATACAAAAGAGGCATATTTTTATATGCCTCGTGAATAGTGCATGAGAAGGAACACAATGTGACTGAAGTTCTTTTAAACAGGTAGTAGGACAGAAGATGAAAGCTGAAGAGATTTTGTGTCCTACATTGCATTATAGTCTTAATTTTCTGCAGAGTTTAAAAGTGTAATGAGTTTATTCTCATTATGTACTTTTGTACACAAACATACACATCTACTATTATGAAAATGCATTTGGTCCTTAGTGTTATTTCCCTACACTGTGACAGGAGTAAAATTTTTCACATTTTTAATAAAATTAAAAATCACGTCTTGGGTGGCTATAGGGATTCTGATAGTATTTATAGAATCAACAGGGATAAAAAATAAATACAATATGAAATTCAGAATCAATCTTAAACTCAGCAGAAAGATTACACTAATAAAATTTAGACCCTATCAGGTAGGCATCATCAACACAAAGGTTATCAGGATGTTGTTTGGATGTTTATACTAAAATCCCCAAATTGCATGCAAATGATAGAAACTGACAGAGAAGACGAGTGAAAAACTCAGCATGAAATGTACTTTTATGTCAAGGTTATAAAAGCTACCCATTTATGCACCATATTCACTATCTCTACAATAAATTAGATGCCATCTAATTTAGTCTAAAACACACATTATGATTTCTAAAGCTAATGAAGGATCTGGGAAAAAAACTTCAGAGAGCACACACAAAAATTGCCAAGAAATCACTAGGGGTCTTAAACTACAGAAGGAAGTGAACTGTAATTGCTTAAAGTCTTTATGTAAATATTTAGCTAAAATAAATGATTGAGACTATAAGCTCAAAGGACATTCCTGCCTATTGGGTTTAAAGGCGGGTTTAGATGCCAACTGAGCAGGGTATGACCACTTTGGAATAGCAACTGTAGTGATACATTCTATTCAATTGCATACTGAGAAAACACTTATTCCAATATGTGTCAAGTTTCAGTCAATGTGTGTCAAGTTTTGAGCAGAGTGTAACCTTTCACAGAAGAAAGTTTCAAATTTTCAGACTATATAAACATAAAAAAGGAACTAAAAATATGTGTTGGCAAGAAAAATGAGCATCTGAATTTCATCATGGAATGTGACTTTATGAGGTGAAATGTGGAATATTTTGTGGGGAAAAAAAGGACAAACAAAAAATTAACAACAAAAAACCCTCACCAAACTCCAAAACCAAAACAACAGAAAAAGACATTTATTTTCTTATGATTGTGCTAAAATAACCATGCTCCCATTCCTTATGCATTATTTTATGAGCACCTCAATCATAGAACATTCAGAATTTTAAAAGAGTAGCTGCTGGTAGAATGAATACACTAAACAGAGAATATATATCCTCATCTGGATTACAATAGATTCTTTATTCTTCCTCAGTACTCTAAATTTAAAGTGAATATTGTAACAAAGTGATGGCAAATTTGTAGAGATGTAATGAGTTGTCATCTATTCCTGACCCTATTTTGGAAGTATATTACTGTCTTTATAGATGGAGAGATGACATAAAAGAAGAAGATTAGGTAGGTATAATATAACACAGATCATCCTATCTTTAGGCAGAATCACCACTTCCAGCCATCATAGCATTACCTTTGTGAGGACAGATATTATCAGTATTGATCAATGAGGAAATTATAGAGATATTTCACTGGGTTCTCCAAGAGCTCAATACCTAATATTATTCCTCTGTTTTACCCTGACAAATGGTGGATTTTGTAAGTAATGGCATTCTTGGTAGTATTTATGTCAGAAATGGTACAAACTCATTTAAAGCTCAGAGATGGTTCAAGCCTTACCAGTTAGAGATATCAACCCCAGAGCTTCTGAAAAATGACAGCTGAGAATTCACCTCTTGTAACTTGGACAGTGCTGCTTACCATCCCTGTTTGAGATGGTAAGATGACATCCTAAATTGCCATGCTCCATATGCTTCCAGAAAGTGGGACATTTCACAGTAGATGTATGTGTAGATCATAGAAAAATAGAATTATTTGGGTTGGAAAGAACCCTAAAGATCATCTAGTTCCAACCTTCCTGTCATAGGCAGGGAAACCTTCTACTAATTCAATCACAATGATAGGTTCCATTCTAAATATCACCTCTTTCAGTTTTAAACCACTGCCCCAGTCAAGCAGGTCCTTGTCTTTCTCATCCTAAGGGCCCTAGAGCTGGACACAGTACTCCATGTGGGTTCTCACAAGAGCAGAGTAGAAAAGAATCGCCTCCCTCCACCTGCTGGCTACAGCATATGATTTATTCTCTGGGCTGTGAGCGCGCACTGCTGGCTCATACTCAGTTTTTAATCCATTAATACCTCCAAGTCTTTCTCCTCAGGGTTGCTGTCCGTTCACTCATCACTCATCCTGTATCCATGTTTGTGACTCTCTACTCCAGGTGCAAGACCTTGCACTTGGCCTTATTGAACCCCATGAGGTTTGCCCAGGCCCACCTCTCAAGTCTGTCAAGCTCCTTAAAGACATCCCGTCCCTCCAGCATGTCAACCACACCACACAGCTTGGTGTCATCAGCAAACTTGCTGAGGGGGCCCTCAATCCCACTGTCTGTTTCCCCAACAAAGCTGTTAAAATTAAAAAAAAAAAAAAATTTCTATGTGCTGGGATTTATATTAAGTATAAGTCAACTATTGTGATAAAACCTCTATCTTTCTTCATCTTTTTTTGCAGAGACATAAAACATTCTTTGCTCTTTGCTTTCTGCTCCTCTTCAGGCATTCAAAATCTGTTTTGTAGATTTCATCTTTAAAAAAAAAATTGAAGTTTATTCTAAAGGAGAGAAATCTAGGCTTAAGAATTCTGGATATAAGAGTTCATTTTGTACTTGAAACTTAGGTGACAGGTCTCTGGAAATTAGTGTTTGAATAGAAATAATATTGAAATGTATTAAAAAAGTAGTTCTTGGGGAAGCAAAAGTACTTTGTTGATGTTTTCATGAAAACTAAGGAAAACAAAATATTTACTGCTCAGTCCAGCTATATCACTTTTCCCTTGGTACAGTAATTCGTATTAATTTAGTAAGAAAAGCTGTCAAATTTCATGTAAGTATAGAAATGAAGAATACAAAATCCTCTATCTTTAATATAACTTTGTTTGGACTGTTCTTTAGTTTCAGCTATTTCACACCAATGGCTACATTTTCTTAACTCCCAATAGTCCAGATGGAATACCTCATAGCAGTGGGATGAAATTGAACATGGAGTCTCTTTGCAGAAATCTTTTCTGCTTGGAGTTGGTAGGTACTACATTTTTCATAAATCACAGGCCATACTAATTTTTTTCCCCATGCTTCAAATATTTTTCCATATTTGGAAAAATTTTACATATCTTGAACTCTAAAAAGAAGACATCATACATTATATGTTTAACTGAGAATAAAAAATAGAAAGAGATACCATCAAACTTCTGGACTAACAGTCTAAGGATTTAAGTCTGTTTATAGTTCGATAAAGAGCATATTGGATTTAGTTTAATGGCACAATAAGAACATTTCCCACAGATATATCACAGTTTATATCATAAAGTGGTGTATAATATAAGTGTAAATGGTAAAATAATTGTGAGAAATTTACCTTATCAATTTAATCAATGTTATATACAATTTTAATAGCAGATTGAACAGTTGTGGAAAAGCCATTTATATTAAGAGAATTTGGGTGCATTGTAAAGCTCCCCTGCATACCCAAGTACAATTACTTGTGATTAAAAGAAAATGTATTAGATAATTGTTGTTCAAAATTGGTACATTATCTTCTAAAAATTGCTAAACACTAGCTCTGTGACCAATTTTATGTCTTCAAAGCTGATATATATGAGTTAATATCAGGATACTCTTCTTAATTTTGACTATTTTATCAGTAAATAAGAAAGGTATACTTTCTTGAACAGTTTCATAAAATGTTCCCTTTTTTTAATGTTAGTGCATGCCAACTTTTTGAGACTAAGATATGAGTCCTCCATGCTAGATGTGCTACACAGGTAAGTGGAAGAGTGTCCAAAGCAATGTCCTGCCTAATTAAAGTTGACAATAAGAAGTATATTTTAAGTGTTGTGAAACTAGTGAACTAGTGGAGAAACATAGGTTATAAAGGTTACTTCTTTAAACATTAAGAGAAAAGCTGTTCAATTTAAAATTTTATTGACATTGGATCATAAAGCACATTAACAGCTGGACTGTTATAGAACTGGGAACATGTCTCATTGCAATATGCAATGGTATCTTCAGTAATACATTCCACAGCAGAAACACCTCTGAATGTCAGAAAGCTCCACATTCAGTGAGTTTTTAATGGACCGATGTATTTTACAGTAAATTTTTCCATTTATTGAGAGAACTGCCTGTGGGTTGTGGGCAGAAGGTAAGGTGGGAGCACAACTCACAGAAAGACATACATATACTTGCTACAGCAAAGGAAAAAGTCTTCAAATTTTTTCACACAGAAACAATCTCTCTTCTCCCCTTCCACCCAGGTAGGTATCATGAATTTAGCCTAGTTAGCCTAATTGTTAGCAAAAAGCAGTGTAACAACTCTTTTTTAGTAGAGGTGAACAAAATATAACAACCCATCTGTTCCAAACAACAGAATATTTGAGTTCAAGGAGATAGATAGCCAAACCATGAAAGCAACCTGCTGATCATCAAGTGCAAACATGTCCTGGACTATCCAGAACAAACAGACTCTGACACAACACTGACTGCAATTTGGAAAAAGAGTGAGATTTGATCAGACTAATCATCAGTGAGATATTTTCTACCCAGTCCTATAAATGAGGACAATCAAGAATATTCAGAGATGCCAGAGGAAGATATTCCAGCAGGGACCCAGAAAAAGGAGATCCTGTGAAACTGAAGGGAACTTATGACTGTGCAGCAGGATTTGGGACCATGACCATGACTCCAACACCTCAGACCCTGTGGCCCAATCCAAGAAATGCACATCACATGGCTGGGACTGCTGTGCTACATGAACATTGAGTAATTCATAAAGTTGCGTATATCTATGATTAAAGTATTTTGGTATCCACATGCATTCGGTATCCGCGTGCATTCAGTATCCACACTGTGATTTGGTGTTAAACCACAAGAATCGGGTTTCCATTGCCTTCTTTTTTTTTTTTTTACACTAATGAGAAAATCAAATGGGAATTTTAATAAGCAATGGTTCAAGATTTTCTGCTTTCCTGCTACATTAAGAAACACATCCATTACGTTTTAGAGAGCTGCTGCTCTTTAGAGGCTGAAGAAGTGAGACTGAGTAGGGCCACAGTATGCAGAACTACATGCTCATTAGAACACTCCTCTGAGTGCAGCTTCTGCACCTCATCTGTGTTACAAATAGTTGCCAGTACACAACCTTAACCTTGCAGAAAATGTCCTGGCATCCTACTCAGGACTAGGTGTTTTCTGTCACCCAGCATTTCTCCTGGGCCTCTTGTGGGCATAAGATATAATAATTATTCGGTGTACTTCTCCAAATGTTCTGTTGCTCTGGAGAGCAGTGTAATGAAGCTTGCCAAGCTAGGTTTTACTGCATTAAATGGAGGACGGTAGGCTTAATTCTTTGAAAGCTGAAAATGGAAACAGTATATGTTTCTGAAACACCTGTTTCTGTTTTTCAATTTCTTAATTAAGGTACAAAATTTGTCTAGAGTAGAAAACTGCAGAAACTGCCTTCTCCAAGAACAGAGAAAGATCTTTGATGAGAAATATTTTGACCTGATTAGACAGGTAGAAAAGCATCTATTTAAATTTTCAATAAGGGGTGCACCCACTGGTAATGGAGGTGACTTAATTTTTTTTTATTTCCCTCCTACTCCTTACCATCTATGTATCCAACAAAAAAAGAAGTTCTAGTTTAGAGAACAGTGGCCCAGTAAAAATGCAAATGAAAGCTTATGCCAAATGTGCAAATACTCTGTCCTGACCTCTGAGGCATATTACCAACTTGTTATGAGAACTCACTGTGTGAACTTGAGCTTGGTACCAGGTGTCTCTTGTTATGATGTCGAGTTTAAACACAGGATAATAGCAAGTGCCTTGAAAATGTATTTGAAAACAGAGGACCTAGACCTACAAACAACCCATTGATAGTGAATTAATTACTGTTCATTGAAGAAGTACAACGTTGACAGTGGGGAAAAAGTTGCTTTCAGCATACTAAAGAAAAGAAACAGGTAAGCAAGAAAAAATAGCTGAGCAACAGGACAAGGCACCTGCCTATGAAAGTAACATCCTCACTGTGCATTGCAGTCTAGTGGGTAGAGACTAAAGGCTAAAACTGCCAAGAAGCACAAACATTGTATAAAATGACAGGATTTGGAATGGGGGTATGGAGACTGAAGTATTTATCACAGGAATTGTTCCTGCAGAATTGATGTGAGATCATCAGTGGAGTAGTGAGGGAACTGTCTTCTTTTGCTGCCTGCTCCTAGAGCAGCAGCTCTCCCTCTCTCTGCCTGTTGCAAGAGCCCTTCATTCTTTTGACCTGCTAAGGCTGTTGTCCAGGATTGTGCATGGAAGTGTGTGGGAGGGTGTGCATGTGCATTCATGTGTGTGTGTTTCTCTTTCCCTGCAATTTCTGTGTATTTCCTCTCTGTAACACTAACTTGCTAGTAAAACCTTATTCCACATAAACAGTTCTATTGTTTCCTCCGCTGCCTTTTACCTTACTCTGTTCTCTTCATGTATCTTCCTACCACATAGTTGGACAGTGCCTAGATTATTTTATAACCCAGAATACATACCTTTTTGAATCCTAGCACCAGTCAAAATATTCTAGGCGCTGTGTGCTAGGAACATGTTAGGAATAGGTGACTGTATATCTGTCAGTCAGTTTGGTATTTTCTAATCAGTGGTCTAGTAATGTGTGTAACTATTATCCTAATCTTTGCCCTTGCTCCATCAATTTGAAAAATAATGACCTATTCTGTCACTTATGGAAGTTTGTTCCCTCCCTGGGGGCTAAGAAGATAATGCCTCATAAAGGTTATGACATCTTGGTACACTTAATAGAATCACAGAATCATAGAATCAAGCAGGTTGGAAAAGACCTCCAAAATCATCAAGTCCAACCTTTTATCCAACACTGCTGTGGTTACTAGACCATAGCACTGAGTGCCACATCCAGTCTCATCTTAAAAACCTCCAGGGACGGTGAATCCATCACCTCCCTGGGCAGCCCATTCCAATGTCTGATTACTCTCTCTGTAAAAAATTTTTTTCCTAATATTCAACCTAAACCTCCCCTGGCAGAGCTTAAGACCGTGCCCTCTTGTCCTACTGCTGGTTGCCTGGGAAAAGAGACCAAACCCCACCTGCCTACAATCTCCTTTCAGGTAGTTGTAGAGAGTGATGAGGTCTGCCCTGAGCCTAAACAACCCCTGAGCCTCCTCTTCTCCAGGTGTCGAGCTGGAAAGTGGTTAACCCCAGGGGGTGGCATTCTTGGTGTTGATTCAATCAGCGCACCTGCAAAATTAAACATATCACAATAGGCTGGAAAAGAAGAGGGATTACGTAGCTGGAAGAAGAGCGGTAGCCATGGTTTGAGACCACAAGGAGAAAGGGGCCAGAGAGCCCCGCTGGGGGCCAAGGCCCCCCAACCCCCAGCTGGGGCTGCGGAAACTGGGCCAAGTACTGTGGCCACATTGTTTTACCATAGGAGAGAAAGTTAGAATTCTTGTATATAATGTATTATAGTATTTATTGTGTAGTAATAAATTGTATATAATTCCCTTCCCCCATATTGAGTTGTGTTATGTCTGAAAACCCTCTCACACTGACGCAAATTGTGAGAGGGGGGCTTGGAAATTGGAAATTGGATTTTTGGGACTCCCAAACCATGACACCAGGCTAAACAACCCCAGCTCCCTCTCCCTCTCCTCATAGTACTTGTGCTCCAGTCCCTTCACCAGCCTCGTTACTCTTCTCTGGACCTGCGCCAGCACCTCAATATCCTTCCTCAACTGAGAGGCCCAGAACTGGACACAGTACTCAAGATGTGGCCGCACCAGTGCTGAGTACAGGGGAAGAATCATTTCCCTAGTCCTGCTGGCCACACTGTTCCTGATCCAGGCCAGGATGCCATTGGCCTTCTTGGCCACCTGTGCAAACTTCTGGCTCCTGTTCAGCTTCCTGTCAATGCAAACTCCCAGGTCCCTTTCTGCCTGGCTGCTCTCGAGCCACTCTGTCCCCAGCCTGTAGCACTGCAGGGTGTTGTTGTGGCCAAAGTGCAGGACCCGGCACTTGGCCTTGTTCAACCTCATCCCATTCTAATCAGACCATGTCTCCAGCTAGTCCAGGTCCCTCTGCAGAGCCCTCCTGCCTTGCAGCAGATCAACACTTCCCCTCAGCTTGGTGCTATCTGCAAATTTGCTAATGGTACACTCAATCTCCTCATCAAGATCATCAATAAAGATATTAAACAGGACTGGGCCCAACACTGATCCCTGGGGGACACCATTAGTGACCGGCCACCAACTGGATGCAGCACCATTCACCAGCACTCTCTGGGCTTGGCCATCCATTTGTCCTTGACTTCATTTGTCTTAAACCCATTTTCTCTGTTTTAAATAAATCTGACTTAGAGAAATGTGATGGCTATCTGGATATTTCAGCAGCTCATTTTCAAGGACAAGACAATCTTGCAACTACAAATAAGAAATGCTAAATGAGAGCTAACTAATATAGTCAAAGGAAACATGTAGGATTTATCTTTACTTAGGAAAATGTGATTAAAAATGCAACAGCAGATTTCACAGGAAGTTAAAATAGTATCACAGAAGGTATGAGCTTTTAACAGATGTGACATCCCTGGTTTGTAGTGAGCTCTCTTGCTAGATTCTAGCCAATACATATTTTTGATTTTGTTATGTTTTTCCTCTTTCCCATTTCAGTGAAGGTGCAATATTTTACTGCGATTGAATAGGGTAAAGATTCCCAATAGTGAAATCTATTACATGGTGACACAGTCTCCAAAGGAAAGTAGTAGAAGCTTTATTGCTAAGTACATTTAAGTCTAGATGAGACAAAGCACTGGAAAATATTCTTTAGGGAACAATCTAGTGACTACATGAAATAGAAAACCAAATAGCTATTTTCAGCTCTAATTTCTACCATTAACATCCATGTTACAGTATGAATTCAAGATTGTGGTTACAGAGCTGCTAGATGAGTTTAATAACATAAAAACATCTGTATTTTGCAATAATTTACTCATTATTATAGATTACAGGGTTAGTAACTTAACCATACTTTAAAGAACATATACAATAATAAGGACTGAACTGTAGCCAAAAATATCCACCTGATTCTAAGTGGTTGTTTTTCACACAGCAACTAGAAAATCACATCAATGATCTGGCTATACTTCATAATCATAGATTCTACCTAGGAATAACAATTCAAATAGCATGTCAGTGAATACATCCACTGATTTTCTAATTGGCTGGAAATGGACAATGGAGACAGAAATGAAACGCTTTCAAGTAAAATATGTTGATGTACCAAGGTAATCCTTTACTGACATAAGTATAATGCTAGTCTATATTAACTGCAAGGGTGGTGGTAGAAGGATCTGGAAAGAACATTGTCAGAAAGCATGTGGATCTCATCCAGAGGGAACAATGTTTACAATTTACGTTACAATGGGAACTTTATACTTCTTATTGTTGGGGGGGTTGACACTCTTTTTTTTCTTCTTTTTTTTTCTTATGATTTCCACTTGTATTTGAGACAGGGGATGAAGTTATTGAAATGATTCATCTGCACTTATAAATAATGCCATCTAAACAACCAATAAATGGAAATGTGTGGTAATGCAGCATTGGAATTTTGCTAGCTTTAATGTCCTGATACATAGAAACACATCAGGTCCTCTGTCACTCCCACTCCTCAACAGGACAGGGGGAGAAAACAGTGGGTAAGATAAATAAAGAGATATCACTTATCAATGAGCAAAACAGACTTCACTTGAGCAAGAGTCCACGAAAATTATCAGGGGGCTGGAATACTTCTCCT